GTAGTAGTAGTAGTAGTAGTAGTAGTAGTAGTAGTAGTAGTAGTAGTAGTAGTAGTAGTAGTAGTAGTAGTAGTAGTAGTAGTAGTAGTAGTAGTAGTAGTAGTAGTAGCCGTCGTGGCACACATGATAAGAATGAAGAGGATGGCGGGGGGGACGAGGAGGATCGGGAGGAGGAGGACGACGACGACGACGAGGGGGAGGAGGAGGACGAGGAAGAAGACGACCAGGAGGTGGAGGACGAAGAAGAAGGAGGAGGATGAGGAGGAAGAGGGCAAGGAGGAAGGGGAGGAGGATGATGACGAGGGCGAGGAGGATGGGGGGGGGAGGGGGCAGAGGAGGACGGAGGAGAAGGAGGACGAGGAGGACGGGGAGGAGGAGGGGGACGAAGATGATGAGGAGGAGAGGGAGGAAGAAGAGGGGGGAAGGCGGAGGACACACGCAAACCCCCTATAGGGTTGCGTTGTGTTGTGTTGTGTTGTTCGCCCCCCCCTCCCATCTCCCCCCCCGGGGGGGGTTGCCCCGCCTGTATCAACAACAACAACAACAACAGCAGAAGCAGCAGCAGCAGCAACAACAACAACAACAACAACAACAACAACAACAACAACAACAACAACAACAACAACTACAAAGACAACAACGACATCAAAGACGACAACAACAACAACAACAACAACAGAAGGAGGAGGAGGAGGAGGAGCAGCAGCGACAACAGCAACGACAATCATGGTAAGACTGTTCGCTCTTATCTGCCCGCTCGCCACTCAGCACGTATATGCCAAACCCTCGATACCCGCCCTCTACGTCTTCGATCGTACCCCCTTGGGGGTGTATCGTTCTTACATGCAGCGTGTATTTTATGCAGCCCCTACGGCAGTGGAAGAGAGGACGGGTGGAAGAAAGGGCCTATGGGGGAGGTAGGAGGATGGAGAACGATAGAGAGAGAATAGAAGGAGGGGAGATAGGAGCAGAAAACAAGTGGCAGAACCAGACGGGCAGAACGGGCAGGTAGACCCAGGCGGGTCGGGAAGGCGGGCCCAGGCGGCCAGGTCGAGCAAGCGGGCTGCTGAAGCGTACGCCCTGCATGAATCGCGAGGAAGTCTCGAGCGATAGCGCGACTCCCAAGCAAATCATGAGATTGGCTAAAGCGAGAGCGTGATTCCTGAGTGTCGAGGACGCGCGTCTGAATAAATTGCGGGGACGTCCCTCGCAAGAGCGCGATTCCTGCATAAACTGTGGAGAAATCCCGCGCGAGAGCGCGATTCGGTAAAAATGTGAGGAAATATCAAACGGAAGTCGTTGTTGTTGTAGCTCGGGGGCCCGCCGCCTACCCTGATAAATTATCCTGGCGAAGGACCCAACCATATGCAGTTGTGAGTATCGCAATTGTGCGTATCTTCTTCGGTGGCGCTCCCTATAGGGGCCACGAACCGCATGAGGGGTGTGCCGAAATGTGGCGGGGTACACAACGCAAAGGAATACGATAGATCTGATTACGAGAGAAAGAACGCGGGTGAGTCAAAGCGCGAGGGAATCTTAGTATGAATGGGTCTGCGCGCGAGTGAATATATTTGCATGAATGCGATCATGGAACCGCCTAGTGTAAGTGTCGAGCACGCCTGTCCGAACACACGTGACACTGGGCGTGGCCGCCGCAGGCAGCTTCCGCGGGAACCCCGACGGCAGCGTCCGCACGTCGCGACGCCCATGTCGGCACGCCTCTTGCGAGGATCGCGCCCGCTTTCGGCTCTTCTTTTCCTTCCTCTTTGCCCGCGCACTCCAAAATCCAAGGCTGCGGGCGCAGCGCAGCGCGGAGTCCCCGCGACGCGCGCTGGTCGCCCCGGGCGGGGTCCCAGCGACGCGCGCGGGTCGTCCGCTGCGCGAAGCAGAGAGAGCTGACTAGCTAACTGGCTGGCTGATAGCGGGCAAGTCTCTGACCGCTGGGCAGAGCGACGACGGGCGAACGAGGCGCCGGGCCCCCCGCGGCACGGAGTTCCCGCGACGCGCGCTGGTCGCCCCGAGAGGGTCCCAGCGACGCGCGCGGGTCGTCCGCGGCGCGAGGCCAAACAATTAGTCGGGCAGTCGAGAGAAGGCGCGGCTCGGGGGAGACGCTCCTCAGGTCAGGCCTCGCGGATGAACTCGGTGAAGCCGAGCTCCCTGGCGAGGGCCGTCGCTTCCCTCCTGCACCGCTTCGTGCGCGCCGCAAACTGCTCCAGCTGCTTCCGCAAGCCCTGCGGCGGCCCTGCCAGGAAGAACTCGATGCGCGGCGCCCGCATGAGCAGGAGGTCCTCGTGGCGCGTGGCGCGCGAGAGCAGCACGTAGAGCTCCAGCCACCAGTCGTCGTCCTCCTTCTTGCCGTTCCCTACCTCGTGGCGGCCGCAATCCAGGATCACGCCTGGGCGACGTCGACCGAGGGAGCAGCGCGCCGGGCAGCCGACGGCCCAGGGCGAGAGTCCACAGGACCGAGAGATGGTCTGGCCGCGGACTGCTCGCGCCCCGGAGGTCTGGCCGCCCCCGGAGCGCCGTTCCCCCGCCCCGTCGCCTTCGCGCAAGGTGCGCCCCTGGCACGCCACCGTGGTGATGACCCTGCCGTGCGAGAAATGCGGGGGGTGTGCCGAAATGGGTGGGGGTGACGCATGCGGGCGGCGGCACTGAGGCCTTCGGTGGAGCTCCCTATGGAGCCACGAAACGTGTGAGGGGTGTGCCGAAATGGGTGTGGGTGACGCATGCGGCCGCGGGCACTGGGGCCTTCGGTGGAGCTCCCTATGGAGCCACGAAACGTGTGAGGGGTGTGCCGAAATGGGTGTGGGGGACGCATGCGGCCGCGGGCACTGGGGCCTTCGGTGGAGCTCCCTATGGAGCCACGAAACGTGTGAGGGGTGTGCCGAAATGGGTGTGGGGGACGCATGCGGCCGCGGGCACTGGGGCCTTCGGTGGAGCTCCCTATGGAGCCACGAAACGTGTGAGGGGTGTGCCGAAATGGGTGTGGGGGACGCATGCGGCCGCGGGCACTGGGGCCTTCGGTGGAGCTCCCTATGGAGCCACGAAACGTGTGAGGGGTGTGCCGAAATGGGTGTGGGGGACGCATGCGGCCGCGGGCACTGGGGCCTTCGGTGGAGCTCCCTATGGAGCCACGAAACGTGTGAGGGGTGTGCCGAAATGGGTGTGGGGGACGCATGCGGCCGCGGGCACTGGGGCCTTCGGTGGAGCTCCCTATGGAGCCACGAAACGTGTGAGGGGTGTGCCGAAATGGGTGTGGGGGACGCATGCGGCCGCGGGCACTGGGGCCTTCGGTGGAGCTCCCTATGGAGCCACGAAACGTGTGAGGGGTGTGCCGAAATGGGTGTGGGGGACGCATGCGGCCGCGGGCACTGGGGCCTTCGGTGGAGCTCCCTATGGAGCCACGAAACGTGTGAGGGGTGTGCCGAAATGGGTGTGGGGGACGCATGCGGCCGCGGGCACTGGGGCCTTCGGTGGAGCTCCCTATGGAGCCACGAAACGTGTGAGGGGTGTGCCGAAATGGGTGTGGGGGACGCATGCGGCCGCGGGCACTGGGGCCTTCGGTGGAGCTCCCTATGGAGCCACGAAACGTGTGAGGGGTGTGCCGAAATGGGTGTGGGGGACGCATGCGGCCGCGGGCACTGGGGCCTTCGGTGGAGCTCCCTATGGAGCCACGAAACGTGTGAGGGGTGTGCCGAAATGGGTGTGGGGGACGCATGCGGCCGCGGGCACTGGGGCCTTCGGTGGAGCTCCCTATGGAGCCACGAAACGTGTGAGGGGTGTGCCGAAATGGGTGTGGGGGACGCATGCGGCCGCGGGCACTGGGGCCTTCGGTGGAGCTCCCTATGGAGCCACGAAACGTGTGAGGGGTGTGCCGAAATGGGTGTGGGGGACGCATGCGGCCGCGGGCACTGGGGCCTTCGGTGGAGCTCCCTATGGAGCCACGAAACGTGTGAGGGGTGTGCCGAAATGGGTGTGGGGGACGCATGCGGCCGCGGGCACTGGGGCCTTCGGTGGAGCTCCCTATGGAGCCACGAAACGTGTGAGGGGTGTGCCGAAATGGGTGTTGATGATGATGATGATGGGAGGGGGGAGGAGGCAGCGGGAGGAAGGAAGGAAGGAAGGAAGGAAGGAAGGAAGGAGAACGCGGGGCACCGTCTCTTCAAAACGAGGACCCAACACCACAGGATGGTTGGGAAAAACAGGGTGCGAGCCTCAGGAGGGGCACTTCAACAGGAAAGAGACAAAAGGTTTCTGGAGGGGTAGGGACCAACAATAACTATTCTTGAGAAATGAAAGCTCACCACCAACAACAACAACTATTGAACATCGAATCCCAGACCCCGCCGACGGCGCCCTGTGGCTAGAATATCGAACGGGAATCCAGCCATGGCGACGACTCCGATGCAGTCAGGCAGCCTCCCAACCCCCAGTGGATGAGGAAGAGGGCGAGAGGAGGGAAGAAGAGAAAGGGGAGAGAAGGGGGAGAGGAGGGGGAGAGAAGGGTAAGAGAGAAGGCAGGGAAGAGAGAGAGAGAGGAGGGTTGGAAGAAGAGGAGGGAGGAGAGGAAGGAGGGGGACAGGGGAGGCGGGGCATGGAGGCCCCCGACCGACCCCCCTGTGCCTGGACTGGAAACGAAGAGCGCCCCTGGGGGTCCCGCAGGACGCGCGCGGGCCGAGCTGCTCGGGCGGCGGCGCCGCGGCGCAGGACGAGGCCGACCCGCGGCCGAGGGAGGCGCGCCGCAGCGGGGACGGCGCGAGGCCGCCGCCAGCCCGGCGCCTCCTCGGCCTGGGGCCTCGCCGTGGGGTGTCGGCCGTCAGCCCTGGAGCCCTCGGGCCTCGATCCGCGCGGGCGTCGATCCACGAACCTCGCCGTCGATCCGCGGAAGTCGCCCGGGCCTCGTCGAGCCTCGAGCCCGGAGCTTCGGTCGTTGATCCTCGGGCCCTCAGTGCACAGTCCTCGATCGGCGCCAGGGCCGGGCCAAGGCCCAAGGGCGGCACGGCACGGCCACAGTCCGCAGCTCCGCCTCGGCCATCAGCCTCGCGGGAGGGGCGCCGCCGGCTCGAGCGCCCACCCCCCTCCTTTTCTCGCAGCCCGAACGGAGGGGGGGGGCGAGAAGGCTGTCGGCGGAGGAAGGGGCGGAGGAGAGGAGGGAGGGACGATTGGAGGAGGGAAGAAGCTACGTAAGCATAAACCGCCGGAAGCCCGAAAAGGTATGCTCATAAATATGTGGATTCTTCGAGCGAGGGGGGCGAGATTGGTGCGCTCGCATCACATGTGGCATCATACCACTCCCTCCATCCCTTGCCGTGGAGCCGAGCCCTTTGTTCGCAGAACCGAATGTCGGAGAAAGCATGGACCCCGAAAGAGCGACTTTGTCCAAGAGGGCACTGGAAAACGGTTTGGCATACGTTACACTCGCGAACGCCAAAGCGATGCCACCACGCGCAGCAAAGCGCGATGCACAAGAGCTCAGCCAGGGAGACGGGAAATCGATGCTGACGCGGCAGGGTGGCAACGCTGCGGCGAAAGTGCTGTTCCATTCGACATAGGTCAGGGGCAAATTACAGATAGTACCTGGGGAGCGTGGAGAGAAGTACTCATACTGACAGACAGACAAGAACCGCGCCCAGACGGCGCATTGACAAGAAAACTGCGACAGGTGACGACGTAGGTGGGCACATTACGCAAGGAGAACTGAGTCATGGATTGCGTTGCAGGCGGCTCGCTTGTCGACAATTGGCAGATTTTGTACCGAATAGGAGGTGATGAATGAGCTTGCCGGCAAGCCGCGGGTGGGGGGAGGGAGGGAAGGAGGGAGGAGATAAACAAATGACGTCTACTTGCACCATATTGTGACGGCGGCGGGCGATTGTACTTTGCTCCCTTGAAGCCCCTGGAGCCTGTCGGGATCCCCCCTGAGGCTTCCAACGCTCGGGAACGCACATCATAATGCCCCCATTGCAAAAGTAGCTGGCCTCTCGCTCGAACGTTCCTCTAAAATCTGAGGATAAGCTTATCATGGGCATCAGCTGCAAAAAATATGCGTCTTGGCAAGCTGCTAATCGGTTCACGGGCGTGCCGGCCGTACAAGAGCATTTGGCGTCATAACAACAAGTTGGACAATACCTGCGCAACTGCACAATTCAAAACGCGGGCGTTGCTGACGCGAGACACACGCGCAGGAGCGATCTGAACAACGCGCTTGGAATGCATCTAACTTGGCCCAGTCCGCTGGCAATCGCATGTACGGTTCGAGGCCATAGAGCCATTTGGAAAATACGCACGGATCTAAAACCTGAATGTCGCGCTGCTCGCATAAAATGGGGTGGTTCCACACAGAGCGAATTATCTCAAAAGCTCCTTCTGCCTCTCCAAAGCGCTTGGTCAGCTCGCTCTTCGGCTGGCCATCGACGGTGAGGGGTCCGCCCAAATCACTGCCCTGGCATGGGATGAATTCGCCGCCGGCCCTTTCATGTTGACTTCAGGGCTGATCCGGAGATGCATAATTTCCCAACGGTCAAGTCCAAATCAAAAGTCCTCTCAATCCGGACGACGGCGCCGAAATGCTTCTGGAGGCACTCTGGCTTTACTGTTACCCACATCGCGTCGTCTGCCTACGGAACGTCTGCAGAGACAGAATACGGTTTTGTTGTAATTTCATCCAGTCACTTCTTATCGACGATATGTAGCAACACTGACAGATCTATGATAAACAAGTACGGCGATAAAGGACACTCCTGCGCTATTCCTGCTGCTTGCGTTCTGCTGGATGTCGTGGAATGTCCATGGATGACCACATAGATTCGCGCCTGCTAGATTCCTTCAATCATTTGGAATATTCCTGGCGGCGCTTAGAAAAGGCCAAAGTGCGTGCGGCAGACCTTCTGATCGGACACAACGCAAAGCGCTGCTCCAATCCAGGAGTAAGGGCAACAGAATGCCATCCCCATCCTCCAACACTGCATCGTTTAGCCGTCGCGCCAAAAACAGCGCGTCATTCGTACCGCGTTTGGGTCTAAATCCGCATTGCGATTCTCGTAATTGTTTTTCAGCGCCCCCTGTTTGAACCTTTGCAGGAGCATGCTGGCCAACGCAGTATTGCCCACTGCCAGTAAGGACGTTGGCCTGTAGTTGACCTGCTGGGATGTGTCGCCCTCCTTGAATAATGGAGCAATGGACGCCTCTCGCCAGCTCTTCGGCGATCCTTTTGCTGCCAGCATGCGTTGCAGACCTCCGCAGGATCTCCACAGCACGTCCATATAGGTGGAGACTCCGGCGTGGCCAGGCGCGCATCGCCCGAGATCATGATGGAGCAGGACGGGGCGTGTCTGCTGGACCAGACAGCAAGCGACACGACCCCACCCACGGCCCCCCGGGGCTTCGCGCATATCAGGAAATCTGGCGTGGCTTCTTGCGTGGTATGCGCTACGGCCCCCGATGGGCCGTAGCGCAACGTAGAGGACCGTTGGTGGGATGGTGTCGCTTGTTTTTTGGTCCACTTGCGCCTCACGTGCCCCCCCACCCTTGATGCTTCCAAGAATGCCCCGAGAAACCCCGCTGTAGACCGGATCCCAAAAGCCCCCTACGGGCTCTCCGCCTCCTCGCAAGATGCTCCGCGGCGCCGCCACCAATCGTGGACCCAGGACGGGACCGTGCTTGCGGACAGTTTCGTCAAGGGGCCGTGTAGCGGTGATGCACGCCCTCTCCAGCCTGTCTCTGACCTCAAGCGCGCAAGGCGCTGCAGCACGCGACACGCAGGCGAGAGCCTGCGGAGGGAGAGGGTGGGAAGGAGGAGAAAGAAGGAGGAGGAGGAGGAGGAGGAGGAGGAGGAGGAGGAGGAGGAGGAGGAGGAGGAGGAGGAGGAGGAGGAGAGGGAGGAGAGGAAGGAGAGGGAGGCAGGGAGGAAAAAAGCGAGGGAGGGAGGGAAGAGGAGAGGGCAAGCGAGGAAGGGAAGGAGGAGGAGAGGAAGAGGAAGAGGAGAGGGAGCAGCAGCGGGAGCCAGCAGTAGCGAGCGGCGGCAGCGGCGGCAGCAGAAGCAGCAGCAGGGCCTGGGCCAGGAGCAGGAGCGGGAGCATACAGAGAGAGACAGAGGACGAACACGACGAACACCCACACCAAAAAACGAACAACAGTGCGGACCTAAGCTTACACGACCAAACAAGCAGCCCGCACAAACGGAAGAAAAAAAACAATAAACATGCGTCTACAACTAAATATATAAATACATATATATACCATATACGTTAACAAAAATCTGCACCAAAACAAAAGAAGCGTACGCAGCAGTAGCGTCGGCTTCGACGGGAGCGGCAGCAGCTCGGGCATCTTAAAGTGGCAGCAGCGGCGTCCCTGGGCTGCCAGGGCCAACTCTTCCTGGATTCCTCGCGTCTTCCCCCCGGTCCTCTCCCATCTGTGCTCTCACCCACCCCAATCCCTCCTACGCCTCCTCACTCCAAATCTCGCCTTCCCATCTTCGACCCCTCGTTTCCGCCTGCCCTCCGCCCACATTTAATCTAGCCTCTTCTCGCCAGCTTACGGGCGTTCCCTGACGAGGACATTCGAGAACTCTCGAACTGTGACTGGGCAGATGTTGACTCAGCCTGGCTCTACAACATGCCGAAAGACTTCAATATTCTCAGGGGCGCCCAAGAGGGGGGCGTCCAAGAGGGGGGGTCGCAAATCATGGCCCGAGGCACGATCATGGCCAGTGGGGCGACCACGGGACGTGCTGAAAGAAGAAGAAACACAAGAAGAAGAAGAAGAAGAAGAAGACGTCATGATATCTGGGAGACATCATATCTCCGACCATGCTATACACACGCACTCCTACATCCCCCCTGGAAAAATAATACAACTATTGCAGGTCGTGTCGAAGAATCATCTGGATTTCCCTACGGTAGCTTTTTTATCCCAAGTCCGTGTGTGACGGTCCCAGGGTCTGAAAACGGCTCCCAGAGGCCAAAAATTATGAAAACCCAGGGCGAAGAAAACAAACAAATCGACGAGTCAGGGTGCGTTACTTCAGAGCAGTGTAGTCCTCAACTCCCCCTCTTGGACGCCCCCGAGATTCGAGCCCCAGCGGCTCGAACCTGGTGGTTCCCACATGCCACTGCCTGCGCGCGACGTGCGAGCTGGCCAGCGATCGCGGAGCCGTCAAAACGCCGCGGGGTGGCGGAGGGCGGAGGGACAATGACAGAGGGGGGCCACCTCAGGGGGGGAAGCAGCGAGCTGAAAAGAGCGATACATCGCCAATAGATCGGCGATGGGCTCTCGATGGCGAGTCCGAACGGTCCTGGGCGAGGTGGGCTATCGGGTCCCTTATCGGCGATCAATGAGCGATTGGCGATCGATACATCTCCTCCTGGGCCTATGGCCTATTCACCCCTATCGTTGCCCCTGAAGGGCGGAGGGCGCGCTGGAAGCACTCGCGGTAAGACGCGTTCAGCGTGTTCTGGGCCGCGATTGGGTACTTTTCCTTCGCAGCTCCTCCTCCTCCTCCTCCTCCTCCACCTCCCCCTCCTCCCCCTCCTCCCCCGCCCCCTCCGCCCCCTCCTCCTCTGGGCGGTGCGTCCAGGGGGGAAGGCAGAGGGGACGGACCTCCTCTGAAGGCTCAGAAGGCCTCTAGCCTTCTGTAAAGATTTCTAAGCCTTCTCCAAAACCACAAAGAGCTTCAAAGAAGGCCAGAAGGCTTCTGAGAAGCCCCGCAGCCGTCTGAGAAGGCCTGCCCCCTCTCACTTCCCACCCACCCAAGGATCGGGAATAAGCGGTTCGGATCAGTGTCGTGCCTCTGGGGGCCCACGGCCGCGGCCAGATCCGCCTTGACCCTCTGAACGGGGGTGGGGCGACTTCATTGAGAGCCTTAGAGGCCCCTGAGCCCCTTGTCTGCTCCCCCCCTCGCCACCCTCCTCCCCCCCGTCAAACGACGGCTGTGCCAGGGAGCTGCGCGCGCCCAGGCCAGCGCGGAGCGCCGCACTGGCTGCAGCCTCGCCCTCGCTGGGAGGGGCGCAGTGTGTCGAAGGACTGCTGGCCTGTGCCAAGAGATGGTGACTGGTGCCGACTGGTGCCGACTGGTGCCTGGGCCCCGCCGGACGGACGGGACGGACGCGGGCGAATGGCTCCGCAATGGAGCTGCCAGGGGCGTCTACGCCCACTCACTTGTTGATGCAGTCGTCCTTCAACGTACCCCAAATCGGTGAGTTTGCCATTTGTGCCCAATTGTCGCTGTCGCTGGCGGCCTGCACCTGCTGTTTGATATCGTATGCCCGCCAGGTTTCTGGACGCCCCGGGCGCCTCGTCTGCCCATCGTCTGCCTGGGCCCCGTACAGCGACGTTCACGTTCACGAGAACAAGCCAGTGCTCAAGAGACCCCCCAGGGGCCACCAAGAGGCTACCATGAGGAGGCCCCAAAGAGGCCCCCACGAGGCCCCAAGAAGGCCTTCAAAGAGGCCCTGAGAGGCCTTCCGACAGACCCCAAGAGGCCACTTGGACGCCTCTTACCCAAAACTCGGGCACGGTGGCGTGATGGGCCTGAGGCCGCTAGTACAAACCATACATAACATGCAAGCACTGCCTGGGGAATTAGAACGATGGTTCTAAGCGCAGCCACCTGCGGCAGCGGCGGTGAAAGCGGTGGAGAGAGTATGAAGTCTTCCGTCCTCAAAAGGTTTAAGGGTTTGTCCTCCTCCTCCTCCTCCTCCTCCTCCTCCTCCTCCTCCTCCCCTCCTCCCCTATCTCTCATCCTCCTCCTCCTTCTCCTCCTTTTCCTACTCCTTCTCCTCCTCCTCCTCCTCCTCCTCCTCCCCCTCCTTCTCCTCTCCTCCTCCTCCTGCTCGTCCTCCTCCTCCCCCTCACCCTCATCATCAGCATCAGCATCAGCATCAGCATCATCATCATCATCATCAGCATCATCATCATCATCATCATCATCATCATCATCATCATCATCATCATCATCAGCAGCAGCAGCAGCAGCAGCAGCATCAGCAGCAGCATCATCAGCAGCATGAGCATCAGCGTCAGCGTCATCATCAGCATCATCATCATTAGCCTCATCATCATTTACATATGCATCATCATCATTAGCATCATCATCAGCATCAACAGCAGCAGCATCAGCGTCATCATCATCAACATCCTCATATCAGCATCGCCATCATCATCAGCATCCTCCACCTCCTCCTCCTGCTCCTCCCCCTTTTTACCACCCTGTCCCTCCAATGCATCCCTTTCCAATACCACTGGGGGAAGAGAGAGAGAGAGAGATGGAAGCAAAAAAACAAGAGAGAGAGAGAGAGGCAGAGGGAGAGGGAGCGAAAGAGAAAGAGATAGAGAGAGGGAGAACAGCAAGAATGGCATACCGTGCGCTTACTAATCCCCTGGCGAAACTCATCGCTCGCTACGAGGTTGTCACCACTCCTGGGTAGCATGCGCCACCGTGTCTCCTGGCACATTGGGGCGTGGTAGAATGGTAGAATACCAAGGGCTGCCTGGCAGGGTTTCTGCAATCGTCTAAGGTCTGCAGGCCCCCCCGCTCTTCTCGCAGAGTGCCGCATGCATCCCCCACCCTCTCCCGAGGACACGATGACACGTAACAACAACGACGGATCCGTGCTCCCCGAGACCATGATACCCCGAGGAAGCGACGGATCCGCGCTCACAGGGGCAGGATCCACGCTCCCAAGGCCACGACCCCCGTAAAGTAAGATGGAGCCGCGCTCCCGAGCTTCGAGCGAGGACAGCCAGGACAGACCACCAAGACCGCCGAGACGGTCCAAGATGGTGCAACTCCAGAGGGTCCCTAAGGCCTCCAAGATGGCAGGGCCCAAGAAAGCCCCAAAATGGACAGATCTACCTCCAAGACGGCCTCCATGCAGCCTAAGACGCCCACAGACGGCCAAGGACGGCCCCAAGAGAGCCCCAAGCTGGCGCAAGCCTCCAGAGGGACCCAAGACAGCCTTAGAGAGCCCCTCGACGGCCCTAATAATGCCCAAAGACAGACCCAAGACGGCCGCGAGAGACCCCCAGACGGCCAAGAGGGCCCAGGACAGCCCAAGAGAGCCCCAAGACGGCCCTGGAGGCACCAGACAGGAGGGCAACAGGGCCAAAGAGGGCCGCCCGCGAGGATCCTAGGAAGGCCCGAAGTGGCCCAAAGGACTCACTAACTGATTCACAAGAGCCCAAGGAAGGATGCAAGAAAAGGAGGAAGACGACGAAGATGAGAAGAGACCCCAGGCCACGACGCGGAAGAGTGTGTCACATGTTACGGATTTAAAAAACACGAGGTGCCACACGGTACGGCCCGTGCGCCCCCCGAACAGTCGTCGCCGAAGGTGGGTTTGCACGGTGGCGGGACTTGCCGCAGGCAGCTGGACAAAAAGCTAACAACATCAAGCCTGGCGGTGTAACAGGTAGCAAACCTTATACTTCCAACCGTATATCCAAAGCGGATACAGGTCGCGATGCCGAGAAAGGCGACTGTGATGCTACACGCCATACTCGAACATTGCATTGGAAAGCTCAAGCGTGTCATCTTCCTGGGCTACGGTGTTGGCTGCCACGAGCGACCGGAGGTTAGAGGCAGTCATGTGGGGGCCCCGCTGGGGCGGCAGGGGGAGGCACGTGGGGTCAGGTGATGCCCTCGTCCACGTCGCTGTCGTGCCCGTGGGCGCAGAGCTCAGGGCCCTTCAGAAACTGATTACGTACGCCGTACTCTTCCGTGGCATGTGGGACTCAGACGTGCCCACTCGGAAATTAGACGCACCCTCCTTCAAAGCTGCGCTTCGAAATTCCAGCGTGCTGGATGACTACGCAAGCAGACACGAAATCACGTGTGGCCGATCTCGTGTTGCAGCTCAGAAGTTGCGCAGACACGCCCTGTCTAGACGTGACATTTGGGAAAGTAGGCGTGCCCGCTCCGAGAGTCGTAGAGGCAAGCGTGCCCGCCCACTGAAGGTATTGTTCCTGCCAGTGCGCCCCAGCTTGGGTGGAGATAGCGCCAAGGAACCCCACCAGGAATCCAGCAGCGCCCCTAGTCAGGAAAGCCCCAAGAATACCGAAAGAGGATCGCGGCAGACCTCCAGGAGACTCCCACACAGCTGCCACGGGAGCCCAGAAGGGTACCAACAAATCCAAAGAAACAGTCGGGAGAACCCCGAGGGAGGCCGAAGAGGGTTCCGAGCCACAAAAAACCTCCAAGAAAAATCAAAGATGACGCCATCTGGTCAGACACACGCCAGCCGATGACACAGCCCAGTCGAGCACTCGCACGGACCAGGACGCGCCCTGATAGGGGATGACCTGCGTACGGGGGAACACGGCTGGCCATTTCCAGTCTTTATCATCCAGCTCCTCCTCCTGATCCTGCGTCTAGTCCCGCTGCTCCTCCTCCTCCTCCTCCTCCTCCTCCTCCTCCTCGTCAACCTCCTCCTCCTCCTCCTCCTCGCCATCATCATCATCATCATCATCATCATCATCATCATCATCATCATCATCATCATCATCATCATCATCATCATCATCCTCATCATCCTCATCATCCTCATCATCCTCATCCGATTCATCAGATTCATCATCATCGTCATCATCAGCAGCATCATCATCATCAACAACATCATCATCAACATCATCAGCATCATCACGATCACCATGGGCATCATCATCATCATCATCATCATCATCATCATCATCATCACCATTACCATCACCATCACCATCACCACCACCACCACCATCATCACCATCACCATCACCATCACCAGCATCCTCAGAATCATCATCAGCAGCATCAGCATCGTCATCATCGTCAGCATCAGCATCATAATCATCATCATCATCATCATCATCATCATCATCATCATCATCATCATCATCATCATCAGCATCAGCATCGTCATCATCGTCATCATCATCAGCAGCAGCATCGTCATCATCATCAGCATCAGCAGCATCGCCATCATCATTATCATCACAACCACCATCATCACCATCATCACCATCACCATCATCATCACCATCACCATCACCATCACCATCACCATCATAACCGTCACCATCACCATCACCATCATCATCATCAGCAGCATCAACATCAGCATCGCCATCATCAACCTCATCATCCTCATCATTAGCAGCAGCAGCAGTATGTTCGTCAGCATCATCCTCATCATCAGCATCCTCATCCTTCTCCTCATCCTCATCCTCATCCTCAGCATCATCATCCTCCCCATCCTCATCCTCATCCTCATCATCGTCATCATCATCATCGTCATCACCATCACCATCACTATCACCATCATCATCATCAGCAGCAGCATCATCATCATTATCATCGTCGTCACCATTACCATGACCATCACCATCACCATGATCATCAGCAGCATCAACATCAGCATGGCCATCATCATGAGCATCAGCATCAGCATCAGCATCATCAGCATCAGCAGCATCGTCGTCATCATCAGCAGCAGCATCAGCATCATCGTCATCATCAGTATCAGCATTAGCAGCATAATCATCATCATCATCAACATCATCAGCATCAGCATCGTCATCATCGTGATCATCATCATCAGCATCAGCAGCATCGTCGTCATCATCAGCAGCAGCATCAGCATCATCGTCATCATCAGTATCAGCATCGGCATCATCACCATCATCCCTATCACCATCACCATCATCATCACCATCACAATCATCAGAATGACCATCACAATCAGCATCAACATCACCATAATCATCATCATCAGCTTCGTCATCATCATCATCATCATCAGCAGCATCATCATCATCATCATCATCATCATCATCATCATCATCATCATCATTTGCAGCAGCAGCAGCATCATCCTCATCATCATCATCATCATCATCAGCAGCATCATCCTCATCCTCATCAGCATCAGCATCATCATCCTCATCCTCATCCTCATCCTCATCAACATCAGCTTCATCATCATCATTTGCCTCTTTGGGGGTCGGCGGAACGGCCCAAGCCTTCAGAACAGAGATGCAGTAAAGGGCCAGGGTGGAGGGAAGGCAGGGCAGGCATGCACGGAGGGGAAGGGAGCGCGGGAGCGAGGGAGGAGGGAAGGATGAGGAGGCGGAGGAGGGAAAAGGGAGGAGGAGGAAGGATGAGGAGGAGGAGGAGGAGGAGGAGGAGAGGATCGACGTCTGATCCACACACGCGCGGGCAGCAGCAACGACCACCGCGGCAGTCCTTGTACTTGGGCCCGACGGTGAGCAGCAGCCTCCCCATAGACCCCCGAGGCCCAGGACCGGGGAGGGGGAGGAGACGAAGGGAGGGGGCACCGAGAGGGTCGAGCAGGACGCACGAGGACATGCTGGCACTACGTGTCCTCCTCGGAGGCGTGCCTCCGACACGCTTACGGTATATCATTTTCCGAGAGCGGTACGGCCAGAGAGCGCCCGCCACGGGGCATATACTGGAAGATGTCTCGGCGCGCGCGTCGCCCCTTTGGGGTCGACGCACACATAGTATCCGTGTTTTTGGGCGGCGCCGGTGGGTGACGAGGAACGGAACGACGGCGACGTGAAAGGGGCAGAAACCGTCAATATCGGATCGGGAGATCGGATGTGGAATCGGAGTCTGCATCGGGTCGGACCGTCTCGGCACCGCCGCGAGATCGAGTCGGATCGGCCGCGCCGGGATGCACAGCAGCGCCATGCAGCCATCGGGCCGCATCGGATCTCTGGAATACAGGAATCGAATAGGATCGAGCCGGCCGGAATCCATATCGACTCGGATCGATCGTATCGAAATGGACCCTGAAGGGGAAGGGACCAGAGCAGGGAGGAGGAACGAGGGAACAGAAAAATGGGAGGAGGGAGGATGGAGGAGACGTGAGGGAGGAGGGAAGAGGGATCAGAGAGAAGGGAGAAGGATAGCGGATGAAAGTGCCGTCGGTACTGCGCGTTTCCCATCTTGCAGCCGTCGCAGATGACTCTAGAGCTGAATGATAGGGGTGAGGCGTCGAGGTGACATGCCGAAACGGTCATCGTGCCTGCGGCATTTTGAAAGCCCATTGTCGTCCATCGCGCACTCGTCCGCGACGATCGCCGACGGGTGGGCCTCCATCGCCGACAACACTGGCTACGGGCTTCGAAGGCGTCGGCGGATGGAACACGCCGCACAGTCGCCACTGCCTACGGGGAGTTTGCGACAATTCGGATGTTGGGATGCCAGCTCCTCCAGCAGTGCGGGTGAGATCTCTACGTAGCGGTCGGCTCCCTCCACCCCAGCGTCTGCGATCCCGTTCTCGTAGAGATGGCCGTGGAGCGTACGATTAGCTGTTCGCGTAGCGGGGACTAAACGGCCGTCTCTCTCGACATAGCGCTCAAGATGCGGCCAACATCACCAGTCCAGCTGGTGGCTCCAGTGCCCACGAGATCTGAGTGCTCTGACATCAGCGTGCACGAACGTAGCTATGCTCAGAAAGCCCAGAAAAATATCCGGCCGCCACGCTTGGTGGCCAGAGGCTCAGTACGCCAGCCAACGGGCCACTGAGTACAGGGAGAGACAGTCCATCGCAGGGGCAATATGAGAGCATCCACGTGGGACAGCCAACGATCGAACACCGTCACCATCCACGCCGGACGCTCACGTGGCGGGCCAAGGCAACTCGGACGCACCTGTGCCGCAGCTATATTCTGGGTCGCCCGTCGCCCACTGCATGCGTTTCGCTCTCCGCACCTCGTCCTCATCCCGAGCGGGAGTGACCAGTGTTAGAGTGGGACGAGACATCCGCACACTTTCTCAACTGGCGAAAGCGCTATTGCACGCGAGACGGCAAAGCAGAGGGACTTGGGAAGGAATAAGCAGCCGCCTCAGACCGTGACCAAGATGCTGCAGAAGAGGTTGCTGCCACACGAATCGTCAACATCTTCGATGCGAGTGTCCAAGACGGCGCTGCAAGCGAAACCGATGACAACCATGGCACACGCACGCACAGGGGCGTACCGCCGGGATGGCACAAGTTATCAAGTTGGTCGGCAAGCACAAACGAATTAGCAACTGTCCACCCTGTCCACCTGCACAGCAACATCTAGCATGTAGCCGCCGCCGTGCCTGCAGCGCGTGGAGCGTCGCAAGGCCCATGCAGTTCTGAGGGGTGGATGGGGACCTCGTAAATTCCTAAAGGCCTGGACCCTGAAATTCTCAGTATTGCAGGGCGCTCTTGGGCTCTGTTGGAGTTTATCGCGTAGGCCTCTGGGACGGTGACCAGCCGAGAACGACCCGAAGAACCGAACCCCACCCGGTTGTCTTGAAAAGCACCCAGAAAAGTCCAAGAACGCCCGGAGACAGCCCCAGAAGACCAAAAGACTGCCCACGATACCCTTCAAGACGGCCCACGAGACCCGCAAGAAGCCTCAAGAGGGCTCAAAGAGGACCCCCAAGACGGCACCAAGGGGCCAGTCATTGATCTTCCGCTGATTTTTGTTACTGATTTTAGCGTTCTCGCCTTTTATGGCTTTCGACGCTCCACGACTGCCTAAGAGGCTCCCAAGGTCGCCCCAAGACGGTCCAAGAGGCCCCAAAGAGCGCCCCCAGACGGCTCCAGAGGGCCCCAACACTGCCCAAGAAGCCCTCAAGACGCCCCAAGAGAGACCCAATAGCGCTCCCAAAGGGGAAACACGACCTGACATTTCGAACCCACCGCCCCAAGGTAACCCCTCAGACCGCAAGCGGACCCCAAGAGCCGCCCCAAAGCTCCAGGAGGCCTCCAAAAGGCCCCCAAGAGGCCCGCAACAAGACATACCCAACCGCATCCAAGAGGCTTCCAAGACGCCTTCCAAGAGATCCCGACAGGCATCGAAGGGGCCTCCGAGCTGCAACCCAGGCACGGTAGCTGGATAGACTAAAGTCAAATGTCTATGTATATGCATACTTGTAGTATGAATGTAAACATGTACCTGTAGACCATCATTGGCTGTCTGCACATGTACATACACATATATAGATCGGCATGCGCATGCTTATACAATTATGCAAGTGTGTATACACAAAGAGATATACATAAACACGAAAAAAAACGTCAAGGGCCGCAAATTGCCGTCCTGGGCGTATACCCACCAGAAGAGCACGTTAGCCGACGCGCGTCTAGCACCACGCAGGCACCAGCGCCCAGGCTGAACTCCGACTGGGAAAATACCGGAAGGGTGAAACTAAGCGGCATGCGTGCCCTGGATGACATCCAGGGCACGCATGCCGCTTAGTTGGTGGCCCCAACAGACCACATCCGATGTGGTCTGTTGGGGCCACCCGTTGGCGTTCTCAGGGGGCAACATTGGATGGCAGGGGTATAAGAGAGCTCGGGAGTTGACGAACGAACGAAGAAGAAAGGGCTCCGAGTGCTATGACACAGCTGCTCAAGAGAACAATGATTGTCATACGCCTGGGCTACCATACGGCACAACCTGTGCATCGACATCCGCCCGCGGTCGAGAGGAACAACTTCCTTGCCGACCTTTGAATTCTCTACTGCGACGAAGAGGCATTAGCCAATCACCACCGAGACCTGCCTGCGACGGGGACACGGACGACCTCCCTCGCGGAGGTTCTCCGAATCCTCCCTCGCGGAGGTTCTACCGAATCCTCCGAACGGACTCGGACGACCCGGCGGGCCTTAGGACCATCTCAGAGCCCCCCTGGAGCGGTCTTGGGCCTTCCCTGGGCGTCTATCGGGGCGTCTCTGGGGCCGTCTGGCCGTCGGGGGGGGCCTCCTGAGGCTCTCTGATATGACGCCTTCCCCTCCTCCGCCCAACGTGCAAACAGAATTCCCGCCCCCCTCCGCTGACACGGCAGGCCGTACGCCTTGGCAAGCCTCGCCTGCGGAGTCGGGAGACACAAGAACGAGAAACGAGGGCAAGGACAGAGAGAAAGAGAGGGTAGAAATGGCCCGGAAATTTGGATTTACAAAGACAGAAGAATATACTACAGTATACGTGGTCATGTCATGTGAAACCAAGAGAGATAGAGATAGAGATACAAGGGAGAGGGAGGAGGAGTGGGAGGGAACAAGCGAGCAAGACACGAGAGAGATAGTGTGTATATTTATACCAGAGGGCACGAGACAAGGAGAGAGATAGAGAGATGGAAAAGAAGAAGAGAGAGAGAGAGAGAGAGAAAGGAGCAAGAATCGCGGAGGGAGGGGGGAAAGGATGAAGATGGCGACTACGAGGGGGAGGGGGAAGAAGAGAGGGGGAGGGGGAGGGGACGGGGGAGGGGCAAGGAGAGAGAGAGAGAGAGAGAGATGAAAGGAACGCGGCATGAGGAGAGGGGAGCATGGCGGCAGGGGAGTGGGTGAGGGGTTCGCGAGGGGAGGGCGGAGGAGGGAAGCAGGGAACAAGGGGAAAAGAGCAAGGGAAAGGGTAGAAGGGGGAGTGAGGCGAGGGGGAGAGAGGGGGGGGAAGAGAGGTCGTGCTCCCCCCTCTCCTCCTCCTCCACCTCCTCCTCCCTCCTCCTCCGCCTCCTCCTCCTCCTCCTCCTCCTCCTCCTCATCTAATCCTTTTTCCTTATGACAGATGAGATCTCCCTGAAGCTGAAAAATTGGCAACAGCTTCACAGATGGAGGGCGGGTGGTTTTCAAAATGTGGTTCTCGTCTTGGCGCCGCGCACATTCGTCTCAAACATTTGCAAGGGTGTCACAGGTTGAGGGCGGTTCGATTTCAAAATGTGGATCTCGCCTTAGCGCCGCGCTCAGTCGTTTTGTAATTTGCAAGAGTCTCACGGATTCCCATGGTCAACGTACCTGGAATTGTGTTTTGGAAAGGTTCAGGATTATGAGGGTGCAACAGTTTCGGTGATTCGCGGTGTTGAAGTCTCAAGTACGGCGTTCTGGCAAGATCCAAGATCGTCAAGACACGACAGTTAGGTTGATCCGTGGCGCTGGAGCCCCGAGAGCAATGTGTTGGCATACTTCAGGGTCTTCAAGCGGTTGTCTTCCAACAAGGCAGTTCCCTCGGTGGAAATTAACCCTTGCAGGGGCCTATGAAGAGGGAGCTTGGAGGGAGGGTGTATGCCAACATCGTCGATGACTCTCAGGGTTCCACTGGTCCTCCTCCTCATCCTCCTCCTCCTCTTCCTCCTCCTCATCCTCCTCCTCCCACGCGCTCCCTCCTCCCTCCTTACTCAACCTCCTCCAGAGCTCACGGGAGCTGCCTTGAGGTCCCTGGAAGTCTCCAGAGGCCTGAGGTCGTCCTCGGAGGGCCCCCTCAGGCGCCCAGAGGCCTGAGGAGAACCCAAGACGCTCAAGAACCAGTCCTCGTACTCGATCCTCCAACTCCGCCAACTCCTCCTCCTCCTCCTCCTCCTCCTCCTCCTCCACCTCCTCCTCCTCCTATTCCTCAACTGCTCCTCCTCCTCCTCCTCCTCCTCCTCCTCCTCCTCCTCCTCCTCCTCCTCCACCTCAAGCTGACTACTGTGGGCACTGCTGCAACCAGTGCTGGAACTGGTCGAGAAAAAAAAGCGGAGATCGTGAAGAAGGGCATCACGTGCGTGCTGAGGTTGAAGATAAGGGTCATCATGGTACGGGACCTCCTCCTTCTGATACGACTACCTGATACGACTGGTGGATTTGCGAATCCACGCAACGCCTATTTATGAAGATCGTAATCTTCATGATGAGGCTTCTCGAGGTCATTGCCGACCCGTGGCCCGGCGGTCATCACCCATGGCCTTCCGGCGGGAACTGCTGCTGCAGCTCCATTCTTCGGGCGGCTCGGTGCGCGATTCGCCTTCCTGATCATGGCCGCCCTACGGATGTTCGACCACAGGGGAAGTGCAAGGGCACGTGCAAGGGCAAGTGCAAGGGCAAAGCCACGGACCGGGCGAAACCGTGGCAGAAGCGGCGCGCCGCACGCACCACATAGCCCGCTTCGGTAGCGCATGGCGCCGTGTGACTCGCTTGTGCCTGGATAGAATGCTCCAGAGCTGGGTCTTCGGACTCAGCCACTCCCTCCTCCTCCTCCACTTACACCTGCCCATTTCCCCCATGATCACCCCTCCTCCTCCCCCTTTCATACTCCTCCTCCTCCTCCTTCTCCTGCTCCTCTTCGTCCTCCTCCTCCTCCTCCTCCTCCTCCTCCTCCTCATCCTGCTCCTCCTGCCTCCTGCCTTACTTCTGCTCCATCATCCTCCCCCTCAATTCCTCCATCCTTTTTCCTTAGAAATACCTCCTCCTGCTCCTCCTCCTCCTCCTCCTCTCCTCCTCCTCCCTTCCTCCTCCTCCTCCTCCTCCTCCTCTCCTCCTCCTCACCGAAAGACGTGTCGGGAAGGCGGGCCAGTCGTTTCACCTGAGACCCCCTCGCCATGTATAAACCTGAAACTTGAAAATTGCAAGAACTTCATGGATAGAGTGCGGGTTGTTCCCAAAATCTCGCCTGAGCGCCGCGCACAAACATCCAATAATTTCATGGATGCAGGGTGTGGCTCTCACTATAGCAGCACTACAGCAAGCTTCGAAAGGATATAGCGACTGGTTGCGAGCGGGCCGTTCTCAAAAGGACACAGTGTGAATTTGCATGGATGGAGGGCGGGCCGTTTTCAAGATGTGGCTACCACCCTGAGCGCCGCGCACATTCGACTGAAACAATACAGAAGCTTCAAGGATTAGCATGGTCGAGCCCCCAGGAAAGGTATTCTGGTGCGGGTAAAGGGCGGCAGAACGCAGCAGTCGCGTTGATTCGCGGTGTGCAAGTCCAGAGAACGGCGTTCTGGCACGATTCGGATTGCCAAGACGCAGCAATCACGACGATCCGCGGCGTTGAAGTCCAGGGACCGCTGTGTGGGCGCGATTGAAGATTCTAAGACGGCTGTCTTCTAATGAATCACTTCCCGCGAAGGAGTAAATTCGATTCGGGGCCGATGGCCAAAGAACTTGGCGGGACGGTTCATTGCATCATCGTTGATGCGTCTTCTGCTTAAACTGGTTCTCCTCCTCATGCTCCATCGCGCTACCTTATGAACGACTCCTCCCTGCCGCACCCCCAAACTTGTCGGCAGGGCGGGTCGAGCGCTTTGCCTGAGACTTCCCCACCGCTGATGACCCTGAGCCTTGAAACCTGCAACCAGTTCGGGGATGGATAGGGGGTGCTTTTCAGAATGGGGCTCTCGCCTTGGCGCCGCGCACATTCGTATGAAAACTCTGCAGCAGCTCAAAGGATGGAGGGCGGATCGTTTTCAAAAGAAGGCTCTAGCCTTTGCGCCGCCCACATTCACCTTATGTATTGCAGCATCATCAGGAATGTAGGGGGGTCAAAATGTGGCCCGCGCACGTTCGTCTTAAAAGTTTTCCACGATGGAGGAACGTGCTTTTCTGTTTCAAAATGGAGCATGCCTGAACGCCGCGCACATTCGTCCTGAAACGCTGCAACTCTTGCAACGATGGAGCACAGGTAATTCTCACTATGGGGTTGTCGCATTAGCGTCGCGCACATTGTGCTGAATAGCTTGCACCAGGCAGAAGGATGAACAGCATACCTGTTTCAAAATAGACCTATCGTGTGAGACTTCCCTGACTCACAAAACCTACAACATCAACACATTCAGTGCAAACGCGTCCAATAGTTACGCGGATGGGGGGCGGTCCTTCTTCGAGAAGGGGATACCGCTGAGCATCTCGCTGAATTGTATGATCATCGTTTTGCATTCCTGCTTATGCGCCAGAAGAGTGCAAGACAGCTGCTTTCCAATATCGGACCCTCGCCAAAATGACATGCCCCCAAAGGCGCTGGTCTTTCAAAGGGGGCGCTTCTTGTCATAACACAAAAACTTGTAGGGACTTGAGGAAAGGATTTGGGCCTGGTGGGCGTAGTCCAGCATCGTGCACACATCTTGGCTTTACTCTGGTTTTCCATCTCCTCCTCCTCCTCCCGCTCCCATCCTTCCTTCTCAACCCCCCTCTCTCCCATCCTTCCTTATCTCTTCTCCCCCTTCCGGGCGGGAAATGGACAGGGAGGCGATGGGCGGGGAGGCGGCAACGCCTCCCCGCTGCGGCACGGGTCCAGGTGCCTGAGGTCCGCCCTCAGGTCCTGGGGGCGGCCGGGGCCCGCAGGCTGCATCCACGTCATGATTCCTGCCTCCTCCTCCTCCGCCTGCTCCTCCTCTTCTGCTTCTTCGCGTTCGTCTTCTTTCTTGAAATACTGATATTGGGATCACTACCAACAATGTGTAGAGCATCTGGAAGGACGCGAGGGCAAGATGACTGCGCAGTTGGCAACTCTTCGGGGCATGCAGAGAAAACGCTGCAAAGTGATTGCGTGTGCACAGAAATTCGATTGGGAAGCACAATTGAAACGCATCGGGACTGCGACGCAGAGAAGCGGTGCGCATCACGACTGCAAAGCAGAAAACAAAAGTGCCCGACTGTTAAGCAGAAGAAGAGCGAGGACTGGAGGGAGGGGAGAGAAGAAGGACGAGTGTCATGACTGTTGATATGAATTGTACTGTCATTACTACAAGCATTATGGTCAGCGTCGGTGTTATCCGCCGACCCCAGAGGCGTGTGAGATATCACTTTGCACACTCAACCTAGCCATGAAACGTGAACCGTGGAGGCATATGATTCCGACCCCCCCCCTTGACTGCCCACCCTGCCATCCACCGTGCCCCGCCTTCTTCCCCGCCTACACCACGCCTGACACCGGCAGCCTCCTGGAGCGTTTGGGCACAGGTTCTTCGGGGCCACCCACCCTGCAAAAATCGTCTGGGACCCCCCAACCACGCCCTCACCACACCCACACCACGCCTAACACCGGCAGCCTCCTGGACTCTCTGACCCCAGGTTTCTGGGGGCCACCCACCCTGCAAAAATCGTCCTGGACCCTCCACCCTGCCCCCACCACGCCTGACACCGGCAGCCTCCTGCAGCCTCTTGGCGTATACTATTCGGAGCCACCCACCCTGCAAAAATCGTCCAGGACCCCCCCCACCATGCCCCCACCACGCCTCACACTGGCAGCTTCCTGGAGCCTCTGGCCCCAGGTTCTCAGAGCCACCCACCCTGCTAAAATCCTGCTGGACCCCCCACCGGCAGCCTCCTGGAGCCTGTGGGCACAGGTTCTTCGAAGCCACCCACTCTGCAAAAATCGTCCCCGACCCCCCCCCTTGCCCCCCACCACGCCTGACACGGGCAGCCTCCTGGAGCCTCTGGGCACAGGTTCTCACGGGCCACCCACCCTGCAAAAATCGTCCGGGACCCACCCACCATGCCCCCACCAGGCAGCCTCCTGGAGCCTATGGCCATAGGTTCTTAGGGGCCACCCACCCTGCAAAAATCGTCCGCGCCTCCCCACCATGCCCCCACCACGCCTGACACCAGCAGCTACCTGGAGCCTCTGGGCACGGGTTGTTCGGGGCCACCAACCGTGCAAGAATCGTCCAGGACCTCCCTGCCATGCCCCACCACGCCCCACCACTCCTGACACCGGTAGCCTCCAAGAGCCTCTGGGACCAGGTTCTCACGAACCACCCACCCTGCAAAATTCGTCCCACCCACCATGCCCCCCCCACCGCGTCTGATACTGGCAGCCTCCAGGAGCCTCCGGGCACAGGTTCTCAGGGGCCACCCACCCTGCAAAAATCGTTCAGGACACCACGCCTGACACCGGTAGCCTCCTGGAGCCTCTGTGCACGAGTTCTCGGGGGCCACCCACCCTGCAAAAATCGTTTGGGACCCCCACCATGCCCCCACCACGCCTGACACCAGCAGCCTCCTGAAGCCTCTGGACGCAGGTTCTTAAGAGCCACACGCCCTGCAAAAGTCGTCTGGGACCCCCCCCACCATGCATCCACCACGCCTGACACAGGCAGCCTCCTGGAGCCCCTGGACACGGGTTCGTAGGGGCCACCCACCCTGCAAAAACCGTCCGGGAACCACCCACCCTGCCCCCGCCACACCTGAAACTGGCAGCTACCTGAAGGGCACAGGTTCTTCGGGGCCACCAACCTTGCAAAAATCGTCGGGGACCCCCCAACACGCCTGCGACTGGCAGCCTCCTGGAGCCTCTGGGCACAGGTTCTCAGGAGCCACACACAACCTCCGAAAAATCGTACGGGACACCCCCACCTTGGTCGCACCACGCCTCACACCGGCAGCTTCCTAGAGCCTCTGCGCACAGGTTCTTACGAACCACCCACCCTGCAAAATTCGTCCTGGACCCCCCCCCACCATGCCCCCACCTCACCTGACACCAGCAGCCTCCTGGACCCTCCGGGCACGGGGTCTTAAAGGCCTCCCACCCTGTTAAAATCGTCCGTGGCCCCTCCACCGCCCCCACAACGCCTACCACCGGCAGCCTCCTGGAGCCTCTGGGCATAGGTCCTCCAGGGGCCACCCATTCTCCAAAAATCGTCCGGGACCCCACACCTTGCTCCCACCACGCCTGACACCAGCAGTTTCCTGGTGCGTCTGGCCCACCGTCCGGGACCCCCCCACCACGCCTGACACCGGCAACCTGCTGGAAACTCTGGGCACGGGGTCTTAAAGGCCTCCCACTCTGCAAAAATCGTCCGTGGCCCCTCCACCGCCCCCACAACGCCTACCACCGGCAGCCTCCTGGAGCCCCTGGGCATAGGTCCTCCAGGGGCCACCCATTCTCCAAAAATCGTCCGGGACCCCCCCACCTTGCTCCCACCACGCCTGACACCAGCAGTTTCCTGGTGCGTCTGGCCCACCGTCCGGGACCCCCCACCACGCCCCCACCGCGCCTGACACCGGCAACCTCCTGGAAACTCTGGGCATAGGTTCTCAGGGGCCACCCACCTTGCAAAAATCGCCCGGAACCACCCCACCATGCCCCCACCACGCCTGACACCGGCAGCCTCCTAGAGCCTCTGGGCACATGTTCTCAAGAGCCACCCACCCTGCAAAAATCGTACGGGAACCCCCCACCATGCTCCCAACACGCCCCCACCACGCCTGACACCGGCAGTCTCTCGGTCCCTCTGGGAATAAATTTTTCGGGGCCACCCACCGCGCAAGAATCGTCCGGGCCGCCCCACCATGCCCCCACCACTCCTGACACCTGCAGCCTCCTGGTTCCTCTGGGAAGAAATTTTTCGGGGCCGCCCACCGCGCAAGAATCGTCCGGGCCCCCCCACCACCGCCCCCACCACGCCTGACACCGGCAGCCTCCTGGAACCGCTGGGCACAGGTTCTTAGGGACCCCCCGTCCTGCGAAAATCGTCCAGCACCTCCCCACCATGCCCCCACCACGCCTCCACCACGCCTGACACGGCCTGCTGGAGCTTCTGGCGCCAGGTTCTCAGGGGCCACCCACCCTGCAAAAATCGTCTTGGACCACCCCCGCATGCCCCCAACGGCACCCCCGTCCACCACGCCACGCCCGCAGTGTGACGACCACGGGCAGTGCCATTCGCGAGGCCTTCGCAAGGCTCACGGGCGTACCCATCCAGCGGGGGCTGGGGGCCGATCCCACGAGCATTGGACGGGGGGAGGGCGGAACCCTGGATCATTCAGCGGTTGACCGAACAACATAGCCGAGCGGATGCTGACCTTGATGCCCGCTCGGAACCCCGAGCCCCAAACACACTAAAACGTCACCACACAGAGGGGGAGGAGGAGGAGGAAGAGCAGGAGGCGGGGGAACAGGAGGAGAAGGAGGCATTTCGAAAACGGACTGCCAGCTCAATGGCTTTGATCCTCCTCGTTGGAAAGGTGTGCGGCCACGTCTGCGTCCACATCCCGACAAGGCCAGCCACGACATGCCCGGTGTGGGCGGGGAGGAGCGGCGCCGCGCCCAGCCGCCTAGGAGGAAGTGAAGACGAACGACGCGGCCTTCGGCGGATGACGACGGCAATGGCGGCGACAACGCCGACTACGACGCTGGTCGCGGCGGCAACGACCACCACGACCACGAGCACGACGACAACGAACAAGAACGATGGCGACAACCTCGACGACCAAGATAACAACCCCGACGACCACGACGGCCTCGACGACCACGACTACGACGACCACCACCACCACCACGACCATGACCACGGCAAGGAAGGCAACGACGACGGAGACGACAACGACCACGACGACTGCGACCACGATTTTCCATCTTCCGCTCTAGGAGGAATCGCTGGCGCATGCGCCAGCGCCAGCGCCACGGAACTTTGCGTTGGCGACGTCGGCGCTATGAAAACTGTGGCATCGATGAGACCGTTGGGGGCTGCAGGCGACATGAAATGTGCTAAAATCATGCGCGAAAACAGACCCATCACACAATCATGCCACGTTGGCAGGCGCGGCACATTTTGCAGCGATGCGAGCGACGCCCCAATAGGGCCCCTGGAGCTCCGTCGGGCTCGCTCATGAATGAATCGAACTACTGGCCCCAATGCTTGAATTACCAATGACTGCGCGCGCAGGCGGCGGGGACGGGGAACGCACGAGAAAACAACATTGAGGAGAGAACGGATAAAATATCGATTCTCGAGAAGGGCCGGAAACAAATTCACGTTGGCATCTGGCTGGCCCGTCATTGCTCGGGACATCCGCCGACCCCTCTCGGACCGCCAAACGCGTGTGATACTATCCCCCTGTTGCCCCCGAACCAACCCCAAAATTGCGCGCTCGATTAATGTGAAGGGGCCGTGGGACACACAAATAAATACGCACAAATAATAGGATTCCCCATAGCTTCCCATATGTTCTGCGTTATTGTCTTCCCCACCGCTTGTTCTGGAGAATCGACGATTATTTGTGTCTGTGTTTTTCCCCTCCTGAATAATGGATGGGGGGGATGGCACCGGATGGCACGCTCCACATTCTTAGTGGGGCGCACGGCAGGCCCAGGAAGGCGTCATAGTGTTTCCCGGGGCGTCCACACGGGTTCCTGATGGTTTCCAAGTGCCACAGCGTGGGCCCAAAACAGCTTCGAGAGTGCCAACTTGTGATTCGTAAAACAAGCCTGGAGCGCGATTCACACATGGTTTTCCTCCTCGGGCGAATCGCGGGGGGGGCGCGCGCCAGATGGAAACACAACGCGGCGGCGCCAGCGATTCGCGCCAACGCCCGGCC